TATCAGAGTTCCCTCTTACATCAGGGTCCTCATCACAGTGTCCCCTTACATCAGGGTCCCCAACAGAGACCCCCCCTTACATCAATTTTCACTATCAGATTGCCCCTTACATTATGATTAGATATCCCCATCATAGTGCCCCTTACATCAGTTATCCCCATCATAGTGCCTCTTACATCAGATGTCCCCCTCACAGTGCCCCCTTACATCAGGGTCCTCATCAAATTACCCCCTTACATCAGGGTTCTTATCAGAGTGCCCCCTTACATCAGGGTCCTCATCAAATTGCCCCCTTACATCAGGGTTCTTATCAGAGTGCCCCCTTACATCAGGGTCCTCATCAGAGTGCCCCCTTAAGTCAGGGTCTCCATCAGTGTATCCCCTTACGTCAGGGTCCCCTACAGAGTGTCCCCTTACATCAGGGTCCTCAACACAGTGACCATTTACATCAGTGCCCCAACCAGAGTTCCCCCTTACATCAATTGTCACAAATCAGAGTGCCCCTTACAGATTATCAGTTATCCCCATTGTAGTGCCCCCTTACATCAGGTGTCCCCATCATAGTGCCCCCTTACATCAACTGCACAAGACTGGCTCATAGATAAGTGGATGCACTCTCAGAGACCTGAGGAGGGGGGCATGACTAAAATCTGGGGGAAGGGGCACAAATAAAATCGGGGGGGCCACAGCCCACCCTAAATCCAGCCCTGCAGCCAGATTATATAGCGCATGGTCAGATTTACACTCTGACTGTACAATCTCTTTTAGATCCATGTAGCACAAGGGCCTGACTGATTGGGCACAATATGATTGGATGGTTTGAGTGGGTACTTGTATTACATAGTGGTTGATTTACTAAAGGCAAATAGACAGTGCACTTTGCAAGGGCATTCGCTCCATAGCTTAGTAAATGAGGGGAAGCTTCACTTTGCACTGAAAAACCAATGACATGCAAGGATAATAAAAGACAACTGCATTTTTGCTCGCACATGATTGGATGATGGAAATCATCAGCACTTCCCCAACATTTTTGCTTGCCCATGATTGGATGATGGAAGTCATCAGCACTTCCCCGGCATATTTACTTGCACATGATTGGATGATGATAGTCGTCAGCACTTCCCCGGCATTTTTGCTTGCCCATGATTGAATGATGGAAGTTGTCAGCACTTCCCCGGCATTTTTGCTTGCCCATGATTGGATGATGGAAGTCATCAGCACTTCCCCGCCATTTTTGCTTGCACATGAATGGATGATGGAAGTCATCAGCACTTCCTGACATTTTTACTTGCACATGATTGGATGATGGAAGTCATCAGCACTTCCCCGGCATTTTTGCATGCCCATGATTGGATGATGGAAGTCATCAGCACTTCCCCGGCATATTTACTTGCACATGATTGGATGATGGAAGTCGTCAGCACTTCCCCAGCATTTTTGCTTGCATATGAATGGATGATGGAAGTCATCAGCACTTCCTGACATTTTTACTTGCACATGATTGGATGATGGAAGTCATCAGCACTTCCCCGACATTTTTACTTGCACATGATTGGATGATGGAAGTCATCAGCACTTCCCCGGCATTTTTGATGCCCATGATTGGATGATGGAAGTCATCAGCACTTCCCCGGAATATTTACTTGCACATGATTGGATGATGGAAGTCGTCAGCACTTCCCCAGCATTTTTGCTTGCATATGAATGGATGATGGAAGTCATCAGCACTTCCTGACATTTTTACTTGCACGTGATTGGATGATGGAAGTCATCAGCACTTCCCCGGCATTTTTACTTGCACATGATTGGATGATGGAAGTCATCAGCACTTCCCCAGCATTTTTACTTGCACATGATTGGATGATGGAAGTCATCAGCACTTCTCCGGCATTTTTACTTGCACATGATTGGATGATGGAAGTCATCAGCACTTCCCTGACATTTTTACTTGCACATGATTGGATGATGGAAGTCATCAGCACTTCCCCCCATTTACTAAGCTCTGGAGTAACTGCCCATACAAAATGCCACTGCACTTACAAAGTACACAGTAAATTTGCCTTTAGTAAATCAACACATAGTTTTTGGTACATGAATAGTTAAAGTGTTACTAAACCCAGGACCCTTCATTCACTATATCTGGTCTCCCACAGTACACAGAACATGGAAATGCATTTATTAAAGTAAATATAAACTGCTAAATACCTTTTCTCATCAGCAGTTAGAGCAGTCTTGTGACTTCTCTCAGTGTCCAGCAGAGCACTGGTTAAAGCTTGTAGGAGTTTGCATTTTGCTCTAGGATTTGGATGCAGAACCTCTGACCCTCTGTCTGGACAGTGCTGATTGGCCCTGTGCTGATTACATGCACTCACCCAAGAAAAAAAACTCTCTAGCAATATACACCAAACTGAGCATGTGCAGTGTCTCCACACAATATGTGGTATCAGGGGATAGAGGGGGGGGACATGTGGAAGAAGGGGAGAATCAGAGAAGGCAAGATCAAACAGCATTTTTACACAATGCAGAGGATTATCCCCTTAGGTTTCACAGTGAGTATATCAAGCATGCTTTAATGCATATACAAACTGATTTTACTGTTGTGGATTTAATAACATTTTAATTGCACAAACATTTTAACATGTATGGTGAGCTAACAACATATTTTTCTTTTCGGTTATTTAGGAGCTAGAAATCAGCTCACAGGGAGCCTATACAACACATGCTTTCCCAGCTCTGATTTCTCCATCAAACATTGAAGGTAAAGGCTGGGCAGGTTGCTGAGTGGTTAACAAAGCTCCAATTTTCCAATGCAGGCCTGGTAATGTAACCAGCTGAGCTCCGTGATATATGCACATCGGAGTTAAATCCATCAATATAATTTATGTGAGATCTGAATAGATCCGAATGCCCCAATTCCTCCATAATATAAACATTTTACATGAGACTTGTGTATATCCGGACCATAAAATGGGTCTCAGGGGGGGAATTTGCAGGCTATTAATATTTGATGCACAGATGTTGTGTAGATTCTGGTTTACAATGTATCCCACACCGACTAAGCTGGACCCTCTAAAGAAAGGAGAATGTCCCCCTTGACTGATAAACGTCCCCAATAAGACAAACTTCCCATCCTGCGCTGCTCCTCTATTTAGCTAGGCTTTGACTTTTATGACAAAAAAGCCTTGATTTTTTTTTTTCTTTTCTGTGTCTGTTTAGCAGATCTGTGCTGGGGCTGTGTGTGGGGTGTGTGCATGGCAGATCTCATTGTCTCTCCTCTTCTAGCAGCGCCATTTTGAGGGCCCTTATGAAATGCCTTCTCCTCCTGCTGGGTCCAAACACACTAATATTCTCCATATGTTCAAAGGCAACATCAGAGCTTCCAATGCCTACATGCATTTACATTCTTCTCTTGCAAAAAGTGTATCTGTGAAATGTTACATTGTTGCATGCAATTGAGAATTAGATTTTCTTTGTAGCAATTAGTATGACAACCTTCAGTTATACAAACAAGCAGAGAAAAAAAAAAAGTCTGCCCTGTTCTGAACTCAAACTTCAAAATAAAAACAAAATATATTACTTCCCTGTAGGCAGCAGTAAGATTATTTTATCTTTATTTCAATTTAGTTTTCTTTTCTTATTACTATTCATTATTTTTTTTTAATTGTATTTATTCTTACTCTAAAAAATTTTTTTGCACGTTCTCATATCACAATGTAATTTATAAAAATATAACGATCATGCATTCTCTTTATTTAGGTTCTAAAATGTGTTTTTCTCATTCTCATATCCGAAATTAATTTTTAAAAATCCATGCATCATGTATTCTATATACTTAAATTCGAATACGTGTTTTATACTTTCTTATGCCAGAATTCAATCTTAAAGTAAAAAAAGAAAAAGATCGTACATTCTATGTACCTAGATTCTAATATGTGTTTTGCACATTATCATGTCAGAATTTATTTTAAGCCAAAAATCATATATTTTATATTCTTAACTTTTATTATGTGTTTTGTATCTTCTCATGTCAATATTTAAATAAAAAATATATCCAAGGATCATGTATTCTGTGTATTTGTAAATTATAGTATGTGTTTTGCACATTCTTGTGTTAAAATTTAATTACAAAAAAATCCAATGATTATGCATTCTATATACTTAGATTCCAAAATGTCTCGTATGTAAGAATTTAATTTAAAAAATCCAAGGATCATGTATTCTATATACTTGATAAAAATTTATTTTGCACAGTCTTACGTCACAATTTATTTAAAAAAAAAATCAAGGATCATTTATGCTATATTTTTACATTCTATTATGTGTTGTGAACATTCTCATGTCAGAATACTAAGAAAAGAAAAAAAATCCAAGGATCAGGCTTTCTGTTCACCTAAATGTGTTTTGCACGGCCTCGAAAAAAAAATACACAGCGATGCAACGATACAACGTATTAACTATATCCAGATTGGTGGTTTTAAATCTTCTAAAAAAAAAAATACAACGATCATGTGTATTAGATATCCAGATTAGTGGTTTTCAATTTTATAAAAAAAAAAACAAAAACAACAAAGCAGATATGATCGAAGCATTAATAAAAAGCTGGACCAGATTTTAATTTTTATTAACATGGTAAAATTTTGCACACGAATTATTATAAAGACAACTTTGTGAAAATAAGGACCAATAAATTATTATCAAATAATTAATAAATTGAAAGGAAACACTGAGAAAATAAAAAATATATATAACATAAGACTTATAATATGTACCTAAATCTAAACGAACATTTTTGATTCCTGAGACATCGCTAAAATAATCTTCAAATCAACTGATTTGTTGCTCCCCCTGAATGGTTCTAATCGACAATTAAAGTACAAAAAAAACATGAATTTAATTTAATAGCTGGCGGTGGATCAATAAATATAATAAATAGTATAAATAATACCCTCGCACGCTGGAGGTGAATACTCTGCAAGAAAAATAATGAGAAAATGCGGCTATTAAAAATCTAAAGTGTGGAGATCCTTGCTGCAAAGTGTGCTAGTGAGAAAGTCGAGATCTTCTTGGGAGAAGTGAACAGGACTATTGAGGGAACCATCTGAAATGTGTAGGCAGGAGTCTGACGGGAATAAAGTCAGCTCTGACAATAAATTGTCCTGGCTTTCAGAGAGGACATTGTCCATGCTACCCACCTCTGCACTGGGATCAGTCTCACTGGTGGGTGTTGGGTAGAGGGGGCTTCTGGATGTGGATTCCTTGCCTGAAGGAAGCTGTTGACTGATGGGCAACTTGGGAGTCTCAGGCTTGTATGGGTCTCTGACTCCCTCAAAGAGTCATTGGCATCTACTCCTTGGTGGTAGGCTGGGCTCTCATCTCCATCCTCTATGGGGTCGCAGTCTTCTAAGTTGGAGAAACTCAAGTCCCCATCCTGTTGGTCTTTTTGTTGCGTCTGTCTCTTGTGCTTCATCCTGCGGTTCTGGAACCAAACTTTGACCTGTCTCTCTGTGAGATCTAGCAGAGCAGCAATCTCCACTCGCCTGGGTCTGCAGAGGTACTTATTGAAGTGGAATTCCTTCTCCAGCTCCAGCAGTTGGGTGTTGGTGTAGGCTGTCCTCAGCCTCCTAGAGCTGCTGTTGGCGTCCTGGATTCCTGTCGGTTCTGGAAAAGCAATTGCTTACGTTATAAATCTACTCACACACAGCCATTTCTTTAGCTAACTAATTAACCCTTCTGCTGCTGGAGGGCAATCAACAGTGAGGATTGCAATGCTGCATGGACGCCTATGGCAGCATCAGGGTTAAATTTAGCCAGGAAACTAGATTACAAATCGTATTGTGACACAGATCAGAATAGTCATAAATAATCCCGAGCAGGTTAACCTGTTACTTTTATCTGGCTGCCATTTATTTTATCAGAAATGTGAACACCCACCACCCCCATATTCCTTCCTGCCAAAAAAAGATACCCCCTTTACAGCAGTACATTGCATGCAGGAACAATGCACCACTGCTATGTCCTTCTCTCTACTGTGATTTCAAGGATCCAGAATCATTAAGGACATTATCATTTTTAAAATAAAACGATGGCCTCCTAAACCCCTCAAAGATTCAAGGATAAATTGACTAATATCGTTATTAAAATTAAAATGATGGATCCACGAACCCACCAAGATCCAGGAACAATAGGAACACAGAGACTAATATCATTATTAAAATGAAATTATAGACTAATGAACCTCCCCAAGATCCAAGAACTATAAGAACACTATCATTGTTAAAATAAAACGATGGACTTATGAACCCACCAAGATCCAGGAACAATAACAACACATTGACTATATAATTATGGAAATAAAATGAAGGTATCATGGACCCAGCAAGATCCAGGAACAATAAGAAAACATTGACTATATAATTATTGAAATACAACGCAGGACTCGTAAACCCACCAAGAACCAGGAACAATAAGAACACATTAACTAATATTGTTGAAATAAAATGAAGGACTCATGAACCCACCAAGATCCAGGAACAATAAGAACACAGGGACGATTATCATTATTAAAATAAAATGATGGACATATGAACCCACCAAGATCCAAGAATTATAAGACCACAGTCGACTATATCATTATTACAATCAAAACGAAGGACCCATGAACCCCCACCAAGATCCAGGAACACAAGAACACACTAAAATTACTCAAACAAAAGGAAAAACCCATGAACCCACCAAGATCCAGGAACAATAAGAACACACTAAAATTATTCAAATAAAATGAAGGACAAATGAACCCAGCAAAATCCAGGAACAATAAAAACACACACTAATATTATTAAAATAAAATGGACTCATGAACCCACCAAGATCCAGGAACAATAAGAACAAACTAATATTATTGAAAGGTTGGACCCATGAACCCTCCAAGATCCAGGAACAATAAGAGCACACTATTACTATTGAAATAAAAGGATAAACCCACCAAGATCCAGGAACAATAAGAACACACTATTACTATTGAAATAAAAGGATGAACCCACCAAGATCCAGGAACAATAAGAACACACTAATATTATTGAAAGGTTGGACCCATGAACCCACCAAGATCCAGGAACAATAAGAGCACACTATTACTATTGAAATAAAAGGATGAACCCACCAAGATCCAGGAACAATAAGAAAACACTAATATTAATGAAAGGTTGGAACCCACCAAGATCCAGGAACAATAAGAACACACTAATATTATTGAAAGGTTGGACCCATGAACCCACCAAGATCCAGGAACAATAAGAACACACTAATACTATTGAAATAAAAGGATGGACCTACCAAGATCCAGGAACAATAAGAACACACTAATACTATTGAAATAAAAGGATGGACCCATCAAGATCCAGGAACAATAAGAACACACTAATACTATTGAAATAAAAGGATGGACCCATCAAGAAGAACCACTAATACTATTGAAATAAAAGATCCAAGATCCAGGAACACTTTAATATTATTAAAATAAAACGAAGAACTCTTGAACCCACCAAGATCCAGAAACAATAAGAAAACGTTGACTTCATGATTATTAAATAAAACGAGAGACTCCTGAACCCACCATGATCCAGGAACAATACAAACACACTAATATTATTGAAATAAAAGGATGTGCCCATGAACCGACCAAGATACAGAAACAATAGGAACACAGAGCTTGATATCATTATTAAAATCAAATGATGGACCCATGATCCATGAGTGATGGACCCCAAGACAGACCTGCTGGTGACCCCCCTGCAGACTCAGGCGTTGAGAGGGGAGCTGGTGGGGATCCTTGGTTGCTCTTCTTGCCTGATTTTTTTTCCTTCATCCAGGGGAACTCAGTAGCCAAATGGCCAGGCTGATGGCTAGACTGCTGGAGCAGGCCATTATCTGTCCGTTTTTGGCTCCTAGTCCTCGGCTGGCCACCGGAGCCCGGATTCAAGCTGGGGATGGTTTGCTCAAAAGGAGGAGGAATTAATGTCGAGTCCTTGATTGATGAAGTTTGAAATGTCTCCAGGACAGCAGGGAAGGACGTCAGGCACTCTGCTAGCGATGGCTGGCTGTTGATGAACCCGATCTCCCTCTCAAATTCAAAATTCATGGCTTCCCCGGGCCAGCCTAGGGGTGGGAAAAGGAAATATTAGGATCCCAATAATCCCGAGGCCCTATTATTGTATATTGCTGATAAATCAGGCGTATGGGGACCCTGATGTATTAAACTGAAGACTGGGCGACTTGCAGCCAATTCCTGGTCACGTGACTGCGGCTGACCAATGGGGACAGCAGGCCTGCTGAAAAAGAGTGCATTATCACTGCGAATTAATTCCTATAAATGTATGGGGGGGCTTCCCAAAAAAATGCTGCATGTACTAGTTGGCAATGTATAGATCAAGAGAAAGCGGTACTGAGGATGACCAAAGCAGAGGCAATGAGTAAACCAGGATAGGCACCATTTAGGATGGGGAGAGAGAATGTACTCCAGCCATGATTACAGAGGATGACCAAAGCAGAAGCAGCTGGGAAGCAGAATAGGCACCATTTATGAAGGTTTAATAGGGAGAGAGAAGGTACTCCATCCATGATCACAGAAGATGACATTGGAGGTCATCTGCAGCCCAGTTGTGCTTTCCAGGATCACTTAGTGAAACTCCAGAATAAATCCTTATGGAGAGGCTGCTGAGTAACAGGGATGATTCCTGAGCCACATCACAAGAGGAGAGTGATCAATCTCTGGGGTGGAGGGGCAGTGTCAGCTGAGAATTCCTCCCTTTATGACTATGGGAAACCGAGGACTCCACAAACGGGTAATAATGTGTCCAGACTCCAGCAGTAAAACTGGGGCAGAAAAGTCACCAGAAATCCTGACTCCTTCCAAGTGGCTGGGGGTTGTGATCAGCAAGCTGCTGGGCTGCTCGTGGAAACTTTTGTCTGATAAAAATCTGCGTGGGTGGTGGGTGTAGAGCAAGGCACAGTCCCAGCCATGATCAGTGAGGAGGAGAGGGGACAAAAAGAAGAGGGCTTGCTGGGACCTGGACACTCACATTGTCACCACAGAGGACATCTTTCTTTACTCCAAGAGCTTTATTGCTGTACATATTTTGCTAATGGTTATCAAACGATATTTCCTTTTTTTCACTGCAGAGCAAGAGATAGAAGACCTTGGCCTCCTGGATTTTTTTTCTGCTACAGAACCTAGAGGAAAATGCCATGGATTTTTTTTTTTTGCATTCGTTTTGGGGGTGTGTGTGGGGGGGGGGGGGGGGGGCTGGCAGCCTGTTTATTCCATTTGGTGTTACTTAAAATGTGAGGTAAGAGATGATACATAGATATGAAGGGTTAATGGCAGTGTGTAGCCAGCAAAGGCAGCAAGAAGGGAAAGATACCTTTTTTATTTATATATTTATGTATGCATATATGTATGTATAGGTCTGCCTGTTCACTATGCACATCTGTTTATAGTTTATTTATTTTATTATTTATTTATTTATTTTTTAATTAGCTTGTTAATAAAGAAGATTCTGTATATAATGATATTGTTAATAAAGAAATTGAGAATCTTCACACAATAAATTTAATTACTTTTCTCTTCAGTTAGCTAACCATGTGAAGAGCAGATTTCTGGTTACTTATTTCATCTGCACATGATTGCTGTGTGAAGATTTATTGATTCATTTATTTATTATATGAAACTTCTACATTTATGAGAATAAGTCTTTATCTTTATTTCTTCTTTCTTTCTCTCACTCGCTTTCTCTCTATATATTTACACCTTTTTCATCTCTCTCATTCTCTTTCTAACCCTCTCTTCCTTCATTTTTGCTATCTTTTTTTCTTTCTTTCTTTCTTTCTTTTCTTTCTTTCTTTCTTTCTTTCTTTCTTTCTTTCTTTCTTTCTTTCTTTTTTCTTTCTTTCTTTCTTTCTTTCTCTCTCTTTCTTTTTCATCCTTCCTTCCTCTGTTTTCTTTCTCTCTTTCATGCTTTCTTTCTTTCTCTCTGCCTTTCGTTCCAATATAGAGATATTGTGTTGTTTAATATATGATAGTTTTTGAATTTTTAATTATAGAAATATAAAAAGGACTCGTATAGAAAAAAATGACAAAAATGTAAAAATAACAGCAACAAGGCTATAAAATAAAGACATTTATTCTGATGCTGAAGCTTTGTTCATTCAGCCTAATGAAAATCTTCCTAATAGATAGATTTCTCCCATGGAGATAGATCAGGATTTGGTAATTCTTGCAGATGAAAGGTTTTGTGAAAACAAAGCTGAACTAAACCATCTGCCTGACTTCCTCCATAACTCGCCATTTTCTGAACAGAAAAAGATGGCGTCTTGTTCTATTGTAGACTGCACTTCTCATAGACACAGCTTCTGTATGTGCTCCTGGGGTTCTCCTGTGCAATGCTGCTTATTCCAATGTTCTTTTATAACATAGCCAGGAGCAAATAGATGTAATTTAATGTACAGACTCTTGTGTGTGTCTGTACAGCTTGAGGATTGGAGATGACACGGGTTTAATGAGTTCTGAAGCAAGCAAGAGCTATTAGATCTTTTTTTTTTGTTTTGGTATATGGCAGAGTGTACACATTTTTTATTTTAAACAAACATGATAATTTGTTCAGATTTTAAATGAATGAGCTTTGATCTTATGTTTCACACTGATACTAATTAAACGTTTTATATGCTATAAATACTCTTGTCTCACTGTATGTTATTTATGTTGCTTAAATGTATTTTGCACATTGGATGCAGTCATTTCAAGAGGAGAAAGGGATATCTTTTTCCTTAAGCCCTCCCCTTTAACCCTTTGTGAATCCATCTCATAGAGCTTCTTTGTAATGTATAACCCTCACTTTCTTTCTTTTTTTCTTTCCTTTCACTTTACATAGGCATGTGTCTCTCTGGATCTGCATCCTTTTTTTCGTTATTTTTTTTTTTACTGTCCTTATTTCCATTGTCACTCCAGAATGTCACTGAATGCATGTCACGGGCCTCAACTACTACCTTATTCCTTTTTAACCCATCTGGGCCTGCAGTTCCATGGAGCAAATAATAAAAACAGATTTTTGAGTCAACCCTGTTCTGTGCTTTCCTCTGTTCTATGAGTTTGTTTTTAAAAGGTTGTTTCACTGTGTGATATTACAAATGCCCTTAAATTTAAAAAAGAAAGTACTTTCTAGTACAGGTAAGTGGATGATACCCATTAAGCAATTTAACGGGTTTTTTTTTTACTCTTCAAGGAAGCTTTACTGAAGAACAAGTAGGCCAGTCTTGTGAAACTGACTTTTCTTGTAAACAGGTTGAGGATTATAAAATAATAATAATATAAATTGTTATTATTTAGTAAACTGATAATAATATTTTGTAAAATATTTCTATTAATAATCTATAGTAAAAAAAATATAAAATATAATAAAAATACAGTCATCCATGTATCCTGATTAGGCCACTGAAGATGAAACAGGCTGGCTAAAAGTGTATTACCTTTAGTAATTTACACATGTATCTTTGGCATTTCTTTCCCCTCTAAGCTACTGGATTGTGTAATTTGTAGCTATCTGCTCTCTCATTTCTCTTTCCTTGTGTTTGTAATTTACTGGAGAATATTCAAACAAGCAGAACATTTACTCAGATACATAGCCAGCAGTAGACATGATTCTGGGGGTTCTTTGTACAATCCTGGGCATACAAAAAACAGACCAACCTGCAGTGATTCCATACAGGCAGCTTAATAATTAAGAGCAAATATTGACATTCTTCAGTACAAACACATCTAGAATTAAAGCAAGCTGGCTGGTGAGGAGTGATCCAACTCTTGTCCCCACAACTACACTAATACAACAGGAATGTTTTATAACACAAAGTTTATTCCATGATTTTTTTTTCCAACAGACAACTTAAAAAAGAAAATAAAAAAAGGAAAATGACCTACAAGGAACAAAGAGATCTCCAGAGGGTGTTGTGCAGCCTCCCTATTCATGGCTAGACAATAACTGTTGGATGGGTTTTCCCATACCTCCAGTAGGACTAGTTACATTATCCATTATTACAAGAAAACAAACTAACAATTTTTTTTTCCTAAAATACTAGAATTAAATAGGCATTATTGTACAATGACAGGGAAACACAAACTTTAGAACAAGAAAATACCAAAAAAGTACAATTTCCTTAATTATCATAAATACGTTAATATGCTGGATAAATAATACAAAAAGGAAAAAAAATAATTGTTTCAACCGGCTTCCATAAGCAGCATTAATAAATAAACTCTACACATGACCACACAAGCCTGGAAGGCTCCAGGTTTGAGTGAGTTGGGCCCTAGGCTGCTCTCACCCTTTGTAAACTCGAAGTGCAAGAGAGATGTCCACACAGGTAGCTTAGCAAACACTGAGCAGAATTCACTGTGCTTAGATTGGTGAGTAGACATCTCCTAGTATAGTAGATCCTATACTATATACCCTGTATTCATGTTAAGACGAAAGAGCAAAGATTACTCAGGTGCCTAACCTTCACAGAGAAGTGACATCAATGGCAATTATCTAGAAAATGTAGTCAGCAACCCCCTTTATCTTAATGCCTAGGCACCTACCACAGCAATATAACAGTTCTCATATGCTAGTTTAATGTACAGATCACATTCAAATAAAATAAACACAGTTGAGATCAACTTTGTGCATACATTTTTGCCTGTAACCACTGGGCTGGGACTTTAATAAATATCAAATCCTACAGAAGACTTAGAAGTGGCTATTATCTTATTGTGGTACTTTATTTGTCAACTAGAAGGCTTTTCAACTGGATTGGTGATGTAATAAATGTCAATCTTATGAGCCTATTATATACCATTTAAGATAATAACAGGTACCTCTACAGCCAAAAATACAGCCCTGAGAAGCACTTGTGTTGATAAGACGGGTTTAAATTACAGTGCAGCAAGAATCCTGTAATACCATCAGTTTGTAATAAAATACAACAAATTAAAACAAATTAAAAAAAAAAAAAAACATCAACACAAATGCTTCTTTATGTTCTGAGGCAGTGCCTTAGCTCAGTGCCCCTCAGTCTGCCAACATATTTCTTTTCTAGGTAATGCTGATTTCTTCTTCACAAATGGGTCAGTTTAGGGGCTTCTTGGATCCTTCCCTGATGATGTGAAGAGAGCTCTGTGTAGGTTGGATGAGATTCACAAGGTGCATGATGCTGGTTGGTTGGAATGGGTGGAGCTCCACTGTAGTCCATATTGTTGGTCTGGTGTGCAAGGTGGTTCAGACCATACAGAGAAGGGCCTTGTGCTGACACTGAATCCACATAGTTCCCCCCAACATACACTGGGCTCCCTTGCATATTAGGAGATACATAACTACTCCCATTTCCTTGTAGGCCATGATGGTCATATTCTGGAGCAGTGTTTCCATACTTCTGCTGGGAAGGACAACCTTTTGCAGGGGTCTGATAGTAGGCATTTTGGTGGGGTTTGTTATTAAAGGAAGGTGGTGAAGGGGTCTCATAGTTAGCAGTCATTGAATGCATGGATCCCAAGAAGCCTGCAGAAGACTGCATGCTCAGGGGTGGAGTGCTGGTTGGTGAAGGTCCTCCAGAGGATGAAGACAACCCTTTTACCTTTTGATCTTTCTTGTACTTCATCCTGCGGTTCTGGAACCAAATCTTAATCTGCCGTTCACTGAGGTTCAGCAGATTTGCCATTTCCACCCTCCTTGGTCGACACAAATAGCGATTGAAGTGAAACTCTTTTTCCAGTTCCACAAGCTGTGCGCTGGTGTAGGCCGTGCGTGCTCTCTTGGAGGCAGAAGAACCCGGGGGGCTCTTGTCACCACTGCAGCTCTCTGCCACTTCAAATGAAATAAAAGATAATTACTACACTCAGAAATTGAAAGCATGATTTCATAATAAATTCTCTTAGCCATCGCCTCTATCTGGTCTTTCCTGCATTAGCCTGCACTTCATAAGCCTGGCATTTATTAAGAGCTCTGCTCCCCAAAGCTGCCCTGGTTTATGGAGATTTGATCAAGCAATGTAGACAGTTGCTTCATGACCTTTTATCTATGATTAAATTATTATTTCTGCACAGATAAAAACACAGTTGAAAAAAATTGCCTCAGGTATTACATAAAAGAATGGTTCCCAACCTCAGTCTTCAAATCTTCAAGTACCCTCAACATATTATGGTTTTAGGATCTCCTTCATGGCTTGGTATTTTATCTAAAAGAAATTGCCAAAACATAGCCTGTTGGGGGTAGTTGAGGAATGAGGCTGGGAAACACAGACATAGAATATAACGGAAAGAAGAGCATTTTTTTATTTGCATTGACCACTGAAGAGGATAACCATCTTTGAGCAATCTTAAAAAGCAAGCATCTGGTTGGATGCCATTGGCTACAGCACATGTAAAATAAATTGCAAGTTGTATTTTCCTAAAGGAGTTGACTTCTTATTCAAGTCCTCCCCAATAAATATGCAGTATATGTGATACGTTGGTGCAGTCTTAAAGTACCCTCAACAGATCATGTTTTAAGGATCTCCTTCAGGGCTTAGTATTTTATCTAAAGGAAATTCCCAAAACATGGCCTGATGGTGGTACTTGAGTAATGAGTCTGGAAAACACCGACCCTCAACAGATCATGTTTTCAAGATCTCCCTCATGGCTTGATATTATATTTTAAAGAAAGTGCCAAGATATGGCCTGATGGTGGTACTTGGGGAATGAGGTTGGGAAACACTGACCCTCAACAGATCATGTTTTAAGGATCTCAATCATGGCTTGGTATTTTATTTAAAGAACATTCCCAAAATATGGCCTGATGGTGGTACTTGAAGAATGAAGTTGGTAAATGCTAACCCTCAACAGATCATGTTTTCAAGATCTCCTTCGTGACTTGGTATTTTATCTAAAGGACATCCCCAAAATATGGCCTGATGGTGATACTTAAGGAATGAGGTTGGGAAATGCTGACCCTCAACAGATCATGTTTTCAGGATCTCCTTCGAGGCTTGGTATTTTACCTAAAGGAAATTCCCAAAACATGGTCTGATGGTGGTACTTGAGGAATGAGTCTGGAAAACACTGACCCTCAACAGATCATATTTTCAAGATCTCTCTCATGGCTTGATATTTTATTTTAAAGAAATCGCCAAAATATGGCCTGATGGTGGTACTTAAGGAATGAGGCTGGGAAACACGGACCCTCAACAAATCATTTTTTCAGGATCTCCCTCATGGCCTGGTATCTTAACTAAAAGAAGTTGTCAAAACATGGCCTGTTCAGGGTACTTGAGGAATAAGGCTGAAAACACTGACATAGAATATATCAGAAAGGCAAGCTATTTTTTTGCATATGGTTGTTATGTACTACAAAACACAGACCACTGAAGAAGACAATCGTCTTTGAGCAATCTAAACCCAAAACAAGCATCTGGTTGGATGCTGTTGGCTACTGCACCTGGAAAATAAATTGCAAGGTTGCATTTTCTTAAACCAGTTGATTCTTTATTCCAATGCTCACCAATAAACATGCAGTATAAGAGATGTTGGTGCATGGAAAAGGAGCAGGGCCCTCCTATCCCTCTTGTATTGAACTGTATTGTCTCCCTTTATATTGTAAAGCCCTGAGCAAACTATTGGCGCTATATAAATCCTGTATTATAATAATAATAATAATAATAATGGAACACATTAATGAACCACTACAGTACACCATGGGTTACTGATACTAGAAAGCAGTAATTGAATGAGGAATCCAGTACCTGTGGTGGGGGGACTGGATTTCTGCTTGGAGTTTTGCCTGGACTCTTTCATCCATGGGAAGATTTGTTTGCTGGCAGGACTGCAGGTGGCCTGTGTTTTCACCAAGGAGGACTTGTTGGCTCCAGACTGGGCACTGTTGCTATTGTTATTGGGAGTAACAGTGGGGTTCTCTTGGGGGGAGAGAGAAGAGGGCTGGTGGTGCTCAGAAGACAGACTAGAACGCATACAGCTCCCATTTAGGTTTTTCGGTTTGGCCAGTGGCCCATTGTGTCCCAGGGATTGCAGGGAGCAAGAAGACCTCTGGAAGTCATTGTCGAGGTGGGGTGAAGCTGCAAAAGCCTGCTGTGGCCCTTCATAACCCAAACCACCTCCCTGGTATGAGTAGCCTCCAAACAGACTGGGGTTGTCATAGTAGGATGCTTTCTGCATCTCCCGGATCCCCAAAATGTATTGTCACCTAGTCGGAGGGTGTCCCCACCCTTACAGAATAACATTGGCACCCCACAGTCACCTGGCACGGATATCCTTTGTATTGTCTGAAGGCAACCTAGGAGATCAAAGACACAACATAACAAGCAACTGTTAGAATTGTCACATCAAAAAGAACTCTAACACTGCATATAAATAAGGAATGTAAAGGGAAGTGTATGTATGGACAACTTATTCTACATTTCACAAATAGTTGCTAATTTTATTTCATGGGTAATAACAAACATTGTATTGCATTTACTGAATTGTAAAAAAAAAATAAAAATGTGTATTTAAAGGAACTATTAATACACACCTCTAGATAAAGGAGGAGACATGATGTGTGATCCCATATGCATAGACTGAAGATACATTCCTATATGTGAATTATAAACAATAAAGTTCCCCAGTCTCTTTATCTCTCCCTTTTTTTTCGTTTGCCGAATAAAACTCCTAAACCAGAAAAACAGGCAGAGCAGCCTGAGCCCGGAGCGTTCAGCCGGAGCAGAAGAATTCCGGATAATAGCTGCTGTCCTGAGCCCACAGCTATGATGTATGAGGGTCAACCGAGTAACCGGGAGACCTCAAAACAGCTCACAATTCCTTTTATCCTGCATCGCTAGAAAGACACAAGTGCATTCTCTTTGTGTATTCCAACATTCGGGCTCCAGGTCTCTCCTCATTTCCTTTGCTCGAGAAGATATATGGCTAATATTCACTAAAAAAAATCCAGTGAAGGTTCATATTCTACACCAGACAAGAAAACACTCTCTACTGGTATTATTATTGGATGGAATTATTCCCTTCCATCCATCTATCCTGCTACACGGCTCATACACACAAATGCTAATGTATATTATATATGGGATGACATTAGTATGTATTTGTATGTATATATATGTGTGTGATCTATCATCTGTCTATCCATCTCCCTATCTATCCCTTGCTACACTGTTCATACACATAGATGTGTGCCTGCATATATATTTTTGGATGGCATTAGTATGGTTGTGTCAGTAATTTTATATGTGTTAATATTTTAATGAGTGTGTGTGTTATGAGTAATACTCTATGTTTATCTATCTATCTATCTATCTATCTATCTATCTATCTATCTATCTATCTATCTATCTATTAATGTATTGCTATACTGCTCATACATGCAGGTGCTTAATTGTGTGCCATATATATCTATTTATGTGTGTGTGTGTGTGTGTGTGTGCGTGGTGTAGTGTGTGACCCAAAAAAGTATCTATACATACACACATATATATATATACACACACACAATAAAGATATATACACACACACACACACACACACTCATATATCTTTTATTTATTTTATATTTTTAATTATTATTTATTTATTATGTGTGTGTGTGTGCAAAACAGTAAGTATATATACAGTACAAGGAGATATATATAAACATATATATAGTGCATGTGTCTGCAAAAAAAAGCACGTATATAAACAATATAAAGATATTTATATAGTATGTGTGCAAAAACATATGTATATATACACTGTGATGAAATATATATAGTGTGCGTGCAACAAAGTATGTATATATAATATAAAGAAATATATATATAGTGGGTGTGCAAAAAAAGTATGTATATATACAATAAAGAAATATATACAGTGTGTGTTTTGGTGTGTGTGTGTGTGTAAAAATGATGTATACAGAGGTTATAAAGAAATATATATATATAGAGAGTGTGTCCAAAAAAGTATGCATATATACAATATACTTAAATATATACAGTGTGTGTGCAACAAAGTTTGTATATGCACTACAAGGAAATATTTATATAGTGTGTGTTTGTGTCTGCAAAAAAGCATGTGTATATGCAATATAAAGAAATATATATAGTGTGTGTGCAAAAAAGTATGTATTTATACAATATAATGAGATATATATAGTGTGTGTGCGCAAAAAAGCATGTGTATATGCAATCTAAAGAAATATATATGGTGTATGTGCAAAAAAAGTATGTATATATACAATATAATGAAATATATATAGTGTGTGTGTGCAAGAAAAGCATGTGTATATACAATATAAAGAAATATATACAGTGTGTGTGCAAAAAAGTATGTATATATACAATATATTGAAATATATATATAGTGTGTGTGTGCAAAAAAAGCATGTGTATATGCAATATGAAAAAATGTACATAGTGTATCTGCAAAAAAGTATGTATGCATGCATTATAATGAAATGTATATAGTGTGTGTGTAACAAAGTTTGTATATGCACTATAAAGATATATATATATACATATATATATATATATATATATATATATATATAGTGTGTGTGTGTATGCAAAAAAAAATTTACATAAACAATGTAAATAAAATATATATATAATGTGTGTGCAAAAAAGTATGTATATACACAATATAAATATACATAGTGTGTGTGCAACAAAAACGTATATATATAAACATTATATAAACAAATGTGTGTGTGTCTGTGTGCAAAAGGTAGGTATATATACAATATACAAATATATATATAGTGTGTGTATGTGCAAAAAGTATGTATACATATTAAAAATATTTCCCCCTTGAATAAATAAACCCCACCGGTGTGTCTTGCAATGAACAGACCCCAAGTGCAGAGTATTCTGGGCACCCTGTTGTTGGGATCCTATGGGGCCTTGTTTTTTTTTGCCCCCCCATATTTTGGCCACCTGAGTAGTGTCCCCTGCCTGGCAGATAATAAAATGTTTGGAGAGCTCTAATAATGGCAGATAGGAGAGGAGTCTGGTCTGAGCAGCTTTTGTAGCTCGTCTCTCCACACGTCACAAATGTCGCTCATTTATCTTTGTCGAAGTCCTAATTATTTACTCCAAGGAATTGTTTAAAAAAAAACCTCTCTACCTGAATAATAAATATTAAATGCTATGGTGTTCCAATTAGCTGACACTGCCCCCCATCTTTCTTATTTTAGAAGTGAATTTTGAATTTATATTTTCCACTCCAAGAATGTGAATTGTGTCATAAACAATAATAAGTGAACCCTCTGTCCCTTTTCTGAATGGAACTTTATAGCATGTTATATATCCTTCCTATAAAATCCTCTAACGAAAAAAAAGATTTATTTATTTTTTAACTATTTATGTCAACGTCGGTGTCTTAGAATCAGCAATAAATCATGCAGTTAGGAAAGGCTTATTTACTAACAGGAAAAAAAAAGAAACGGATGTATTGAGGAACACAAGGTAAACATCAATATAAACAACGCAACAACAAAAAAGAAAATAAAAGCAAGGTGTGGGGTGACAACGCTAAGGACAATAGCTGGAAAGCTGCGCGCACCTTGACTTGCCTGTGACAGACACAAAAAAAAAAAAAAATTGCGACAATTTGTGCTCCTTGTAGTTTTCCGATGATTCCAGCTAAACAGATTGCGGTAAATAGATGTTTAATGAGCAGCTAAGAAATATGGAAAGTGTGTGTGAGCGGAGGGGAGCTTAAGGCAGCTGTGAACTCTTCTTGAACCGAGATTGCAGTCATATGGTCATAAATCACTGGGACACAGACTCCGCCATTCACTGATAGACTATTTGGGTCCAAGCTTACCTTAGCAGACTCTGACGAGCAAACCTCCAGCAGACATGCTATAGATCCCAGTCCGAGCTCCGATCAATAGGCAGCCGGGTCCTGGGGAGCGGCAGCATTGGGGGAGCCCCGAGGGAAGAAAGGCTGAGGAAGGCAGAGCTGGAAAGGAAGATCCGTGCTAATCGCAGGGCTTTCAATGGACAAGCTGAAGCTTTCAAGGCTGCCCTATACACCGCCCTACTGCTAACAATGGCCTCAGCTCCTCTGCTGGATCCAACCGCAAAAAATCCCCCAAAACTCCGCCATTGTCTTCTCCAGCGATCACATCATTATTATCATCTCCCCATTAAAAAAAAAAAAAAAAAAAAAAAATCACCATTTGCTTTTTACACCCCAAGCTGCTATGGCTCCAAACCCAGCGTCACCACTGAGGGATTATGCTAATGACAGACGTGGACACAGGCCTAGGAAGGTAGCAAAGACTTCTGCTGCTCAATTAGGTGCCAGTCTATGCTAATAGACCGTTTGATCTCACCTACATACAGCCTGCTTCTTCTCCTTTTTTTTTTTGTAATCTAGTTGTTCTCGGTTTAACCCCTGAGCTGCCAGAGAAGGCCAGCACCACCTTCCCCTACACTGCCAGGAGAGATCACCTGGTGATGCCAGGGTTAATGGACAGTGCCTGTCACTCTCCTCTTGAATATTTGCTACTTTGGAATATGGAAATCATTGCTGGGTTCTAACTAGGGTGTCAGGTGTCAGTCAATACAAGGGGGTTAGTTCTACAGGACTGGGAAATGATGCTGCACAGGAATGGAAGACACCAGCAGACACTGGAAGGGCAGGCATAGGATGATAGGATTGGGGCAACTGAAACAAAAAAAAAAAATATATGGAGGGTGCAGGGGGGAGCTACAGGTTTCTGGCTGCTGCAGGATTTCAGTTTGCAGGAGTTTGAAAAGTTTGATTTGCTTGTTGAAATTCTAAATTCAGTATTTCTAAAGCTGGACACACGCATAACAATCTGGTTGTACAATCTCCCTTTAGGTCTACCAAAAAGTGTGTAATGCCAAGGCCTGCTTGATTGGATATAGGTTGATTGGCTAATTTAAGGCTGGTCATACATTGTACAATTTTCCTGCTTGGTTGGATATAAGTTGATTGGATAATTTAAGGCTGGCCACACATTATACAATTTTCTTGCACAATTTTCCTGCTTGGTTGGATATAAGTGGATAAATTAGGGCTGTCCATACATTATACAATTTTCTTGCACAGTTTTCCTGCTTGAGTGAATATAAGTTGATTGATTGGTTAATGTAAGGCTGGCCATACATTATCCAATTTGTTTGAACAATTTTCCTGCTTGGTCGGATATAAGTTGA